ATGATATTGCTCTTCATATAACCTGTAGTTTTTGAGTAACACAAGTGGTAGCGTCTTGATAAACCAAGTTATGTGATTCTGTTGAATCTCAACCACATGATTTTGAGTGTGGCTAATCATTCTGCTAAGACATGCATATTTTGCAATACTTTTAGATAGAGCAATTATGTCAGAATGATAATTGGAAATAGCCATTAAAGCCCATTTAGATGACTTCCATATGAAGGCTATTCCATCAAATTCAGTCATTGATATGGCATTGTTGGAATCAAAGAAAGAGCCAATATCATTATATCATTTCATGGCCATATCTTGTATTTCCTGATGGAAATATCCAAGATTTATGGTGAGCTTGAGATATAAGCTGATATTTCTTATATCGACCATATACCTTTTGTTGGGGGTTGCACTTTGAACAAAGATAGCAAATATAGTGTCACACCTGACGTAGTTTGCAATTATATGAGTGCTTTGACATTAGTGAGATATAGAACATTAGGTCCTCATATCACTTCATTAACACCCCTAGGTATGAATGGATTTGTACCATACCAGGGGTAATATGACCATATCACATGTCTTTTATTGATATGATATATCCACATTGAACTTCTCGTATATGTTTTGGATATATGTAGACTGATATATGTATTCTTGATAGAATGCTCAAGTTGTAAGCTTAAGCTAAATTTGGTTGAATCCAAATTTTCCGTCTTGAGATGATTTTATGTATTTTTAGGTCCTTTAGAGACATTGATGACGAAATCATCGATATACACCGCGGTGATGTAAGGAAATAAAATTTCTGCTTTCTTTATTAAAACACATAAACAATCATCATTATTCAAGTAATCCTTTTGAAGCAGGAATTCATTTAGTCGGTAGTACCATATGATTTTCGACTATTTCAAGTCATAGAGTGACTTATAAAGTTTTACACAAAACTTATTGCGATTCACTTTTGGATTTGGAAGTATAAGCCCTTCAGGGACTTCAATAGAGATTTCGGAAATAAGTGACTCATATGAGTATGTAGCCACTTCATCCACCAACTACATGGATAACATTATTATTTTTATTGCCCATGATATTTACTATTGAAACATAATTCCACTTATACCAAGAGGGTATGTTACATAATTGATGTTGGGTCTCTGCGTGAACCCTTTTGCTACAAGCCTCACTTTCTCACCACCTCATTGACTTTGTCTATGAATGAGAAGTTTTTAGTATTCCATATGGAGGATACTTATGAGGAGTAGGTATTACTGCAGTAAATACCACTCATTTGTTGAGCGGGTGCTATTCTTCATTACTTGCTTCCTTTTATGTGAACCAATATGAGTGCAAGAGGCACTCTACCATGGATTTTGGTTTAGGTCTCAAAAGGGTTTTAGCAATTTGAGAAGATATGTCGACAAATGTAGTCTTTAGTTTATATGATTCTAATGGAATCATTGAAGTTTGTGGATAATATATTTATTCCTTTTTAACTCCTTGTGATTTCCTACAACAAATGGAGTCAAGGTGTTTCGATGTCCCGGCACTGAAACATTTGTGCACATTTATGCCGGGCTTTGGATGATGAGCATCCAGTGAGGTGTCTTTCAACTTGATGTTGAATTACATTTACTTGTTGAGGATTTAATTTCCTCTGTTTCCACGGAAGCATATGAGAAGTTATATCTCGTGTTGTCATATTTTCTCCCCCTCTTGCTCATATTTGGGGAGAAGAGTGGTTTATCAGGTACCTCCACTCTTTCTGACACTTTACTGCAGGAATATAGAATTTAGTGACACCTTGTCATCAGTAAATGTATGTGGCAGATTTGCAATGTGTTGCAAATATATGATTCTCTAAACTTCTAGTTCAGATTTTGAGTATGTGGATATAAGGATTGCATGTCAATAACATTTATAATTTATTTCATGGCATTCTTTGTGGTACTTATCTCCCCCTAATGCCGGAAAATATCCTTATTGCTGATGCAATCAGCATACGAGCTATGAATAATGTTCATTGACGGATAAATTTTTATTCCTCACATAGATCCCTAATTTTCCGTGAGTTCCCATTAATGTACGCTAGAGTGGTGATATCGGTATGTAACCGAATTATCGCAGATGGGAAATACTTTGTTGATTTCCACGTAGTTACTACAAGGGGAAAGTAGTATGATATGCAGCTGGTATGATTTAGATCATACTTGCGGTGTGTAAGGTCGTATGTGTCCAGCAAGAGGCAGGTAAATTTACAATTCTTTAAAAATGGTTAAGTAATTCATTTGACTATGTTTGATAGGAAATTTAGTTAAACCATTCTGGGTATGTACATAGAGTACTGAATGCAAGCTGAAAATGCTCGTGAAATGAGTTCTACGGCATTGCACATTCAAATGGGTTTATGCCTTGTTTGGGAGAATTTGCTCCTACTTTGATAATTTAAGCAATTTATTTGGTAAGATCATGGTTGTGTGTGGTAAGATACACACTTACAAACACTTTATGAATGTGTATATGAGTACCATGAAGTATCTAGATTACCCCAGATAATGGTTCAACAATCCACATATATATCTTTTGAATGTGTTCAAGGAAGAATAAGTAGCATGCTTATAATTTTAATGTGAGAGTGCCTTAAAACTGATTTCCCTATGGCACATGCGGTGCACATAAATCTGATGATTTGGGAAATTTTGTAACTTGATAAGTTGTGACCAACATAATTGTCAATAATTTTCTAATTATCCCCAAACCAGGATGACTAATGTTATGCGACCAAATATTTCATTTATTAAGATTTAGAAAATTATTGTGTACGCAAAAATATTGAGTATGAATTGAAACATACAGTCAAATTTATCAAATATTGTATCCAAGGGATACGATATTAGACATCCTACTACATGTGGTAGTACAAGTATAGACAAATGATATTTTGGGATAATTAGGAGATTACATGAGGTCTCCAATATTAATGAAAATTTATTACGCAAACATATCATCAGTGTAAAGGAAATCACCATTTTTTATTGCACTAGATTTTTGGTTCTCTCCTTCTGATGAAGATTTGAGAACAATCATTTACCAAAATATTTTCTAGTTGTAAGTTTGCAAATTTTCAAATTTATCCCAATTTTCTGGTTTGGTTTGACCATATGTTTAGGGACAAACTTGAGATTTGTCATTGTGATTGTTTGAAAATGATATATTCCCTATTAAGAGGTAATTTTATCTTTTAGCCTACACTTTACTTCGCATTCCTTGTGGTTCATTTTTGTGACCACTGACATGCATAGTATTCTCAGTACTAGCAAATATTTCAAATAATGGTATATCACCTGTTGGGTGAATCTGATGATTTCAAGAAATTCTATGTTTCTTCATCATGGAAAATTGTGGTACCATCATAAGAGGATGTAAAGTGTATTAAGGGCATATCAAAATATTTGATCACGAGATCTCAACTTGAAGTTGATTAAGTGATAGAATTGTGAGCTACGATAGACTTGAGGTCTTGAAAAACGAATGGGTAATCATTCGCGATGTGCTCGATGCATCATGTTTATATTAAGGGAAATATTCAAAGTGGGTAAAAATTCATCCATTATGTACTTAGTTTGAGAACTAAGTGAAGTTGGGACACATAAAATGCATATGAGCGTTGCAACTTTAGAGTCACCGCCAAAAACATAGATGTTGCATGTTTGACATTGGTTAGTCACCGTGAAAGTATAACCACAATGTGATGTGGACATTGCAAAAGTGTTGAGACACTCAATCGTTGCCATAATTATGGGTTCCATCTTGATGGATGGACAACACTATAATTATAAATAGTGGCATATGCTTCACTGTCATGTATTATACCAATGTAATAGAAGTCAATCAGGATTATATGCAAATATTTATGTAGTTTCCTATGACATATTCAAGCAAAATGAGGCTTGAATAGTTGATATTAGCACACAATACCATTTCGGCATATAGCGAGTGTGCAAGAACAATATTAACTATGAGAGTAAAATATTTTAGTGAACAACAACAAATGCTTCAGAGGAGAAAATTTTATAAATATCAGGTGCTTTATAACCATATGTGTAGACCTCAAATTATATAGGATAACACTTTGAAGATAATCACCAATGGTGTAGATCTCGCAGTAATAGAAAACATAATCTGACTTTTGTCAGTAGATGTTCATAATTCTATTACCTTATGTTATGCTAAATTTATGAAATCACTTTGAAGATAATCATCTGTCAAAGTGACATGATGTAGACCTTGCAGTAATAGTGGATAGTCTGCAAAATTTTGTAGTAGATGCCAGTATTACCTTATGATATCTTGAGGTAGTCACATCAATTTTTATATTTGGAAGAACACTTCGAAGGTAGTGATCTTGTTAAAATGGCAAGATGTAGACCTCACAGTAGTGATGGATAATCTGCAAATGATGCAGTAGATGACACCAATACCTTGTGATTCACAAATAAAATTTGGGCTAGTCGTATTAACTATGACACATTATAATTCTTGTTTGAATGTGTATCAATGTTTGCATGAACAAAAGTCTATTGCAAAATTGTAGTTGTTGTCCTAAAATCACATGTCATAGGGAATATTTGCAACATAATTCCAAAGGAATAAGATCTGCAATTTAAGAAAAATATTCTTGTGCAATAGTATTACTGAGGCAATACATATGGATGCAGTTTATGTAATACCCGAAGACATGAGGCTTGAAATGGTATTTTACATGATACAAATAATGCATATAATTATATAAGGAGACATGAAGGCATAATAGAGAAAATATGGGCCTTCCACGGGTAACAAATTTAGAAGGAGCCTGCAAAACGCTGAAAGAATAAGATATCCCCGTTCCTGGTCTCGTGTTTGTGACTCTGACCATGGCAAACCACCGCCGTTGGTATAGTTACTATTCCCTGTCGGGAATTTTTCTAGACGCCGTCTCCATTGGTGGTCGGGAACTCCGGTTAGAAGGCACCGCGCCTGGAGGCCCAGGGCCGAGGACCGTCGACGCCGGGAGTCGCCGCGCGCCTCTGGCTGTTGCGGGAGGCCGCCTTCGCATCGGGCAGGACCAGGCTGACGGCCATGGTTGGTAACAGGCATTGCCGCGCTATGGAGCACTGCCGCCGTAGACGTTGCGGCCGTGGCTGAGGGCCTGATGCCACGGGAGTAGCCGTGTCTGCAAGCGGCCACGCCGGAGGGCGCCGTGTGTCTCGTCGCTTCCTTGATGCCGACCAAGAGTGCTCGGGCGCCGCGACGGAGGTCCGCTCCAGTCTCCACGTCGCGCAGGCTGTGTCGCCTTGAGCCGGTGTGGGGACGAGTCGCGGGAAGTTGCGCCGGAGGGCGCTGCTTCTTGGCCGAGCGCCAGGCAGAGGGCCGAGGCGTAAAGCCATGGTTTTGCCTTGTGCACTGTGGCCTCCATGCTGTCATGGCGAAGGCCAAAGGTACTCAATCGATAGTATTTGTTGCATACAAGATTGAAATCAGTAAAGAAAACACCTTTTTCTGTAGCAATTATATCAAAGCATTGGTATGCTTGATCGTCTCGGAGAAGAGCGCCCGCCGTAATAGTGTTTCTAATTTTTCGCTGATTCCTCTTGCATCTTCTCCTTCTCTATTCTTCCTAGAAAAAGTATTGTTATGTGCAGGAATTAAATCGGAAAAAGGAGCACGTTGTTGGACTCCGATTTATTTTCTCGATGTCAGCGTTGTGTCCAGTGGTCGATGTTGAAGATCGCCGGAGTTGCATCTGTTCTTGTCAAGGACGGTGCCGTTCGCGTGTTCTTCGTTGGCCTCGTCTGTTAGGCTGATCCCCTTTTCTCCGTGACCAAATCGCTTGAGCGGAGAGCGTCGTGCTGATAACGTATTTTGACTGAAAAGTAAAGAATGAGAGAGTTTGAATGAAAAATGATCCATCAGTCTTTATTGATGATAGAAGTGGGGTATTTATACCCAGACGAAAGTACACATGATGCTTGGCGGTCAAGTAAACACATAGTTACTTGAGAGCCAAGAAATTACATAGTTGCCTTGAGAGCCAAGGAAGTACATGGTTGCTTGAGAACCAAGCAACATATCTAACAATTAACTTAATCCTAATTAGCTTCATTAATAAGCAACTATTCTATTCTTAACAGTTTTAAGTGGGATGGGAATTCTAGTCCCACTTATTCCCACCTCCACCTGCAGCGTGACTAGGCCCCGACCTCTCCCTCTCGTTCCTGTGCCCGCCGCCACACCCGCATCGCTCGATCCCCATCTCTTCCTCCTCTCGCTCTCTTCCTCACGCGCCAGGAGGAGCGCCCGCGCTCCTCTCCTCCACCTCGCGCCACCCACCTCCCTCCGCGGTCAAGCACCAGCTCCAGGAGCCAACAGATGCGCCGCCGCCGTCCAAGACCCATGGAGCCACCTTGCTGCTCCCTCCAGCACCGCATTGCGCCGCCCCTCCCCCTCGCGTCCTCGCCATGGACCTGCGTGCAGCGCCCGATGACCCTGCTGCTCGCCGGTGAGCCGTGCCCCGCCACTGGAACTCGCGAGGCCACAACCTCCTCCTCGTCCACTAACGCCGCCCGATGCGCGAGCTCCGCCTCGCCGTTCATCTCTTCCACTGGCGGATCCCAGTCCCACGTTGGCCTCGCCGTTCGGGTCCGCACCAAGCTCCGACGACCTCGCGATCGTTACACCCGGGCACTCATCCCCGACTTCCCGGCTTCCTCCGCGTCCCCTGGCTACCTCTGTCTGCATCGAGTACTAGCAGATCGTCGCTCAGCGCCATGCCCCCCGCGCCCTCAAGCTCCCGCACCACTTTGCCTCGGTCATCCGACCCCAAGCCACCACCTCGCACCGCGGTCTTCATCCACCAAGGACGCCAAGACCCTTCTGTGGATGCGTCAAGTACCCTTGCCGCGCCTACAAAACCGCCAAGAACGGATACTGCGACTACCGGTGTTTTCGAAGACCGCCAAGTACCGCTTTGTTAGACGCTCGAACGGCTATCACACCGGAACGCCATGTACATGGATACACCGAGTTCCCCTTCGACTGTGTAGAACTGCTCACGCTAAAGACCGCGTGTACCTCTACCGTTGCCAAGTACCTCTTGGATCCGACAAGTACCCCGATGACATGTGTACCACTATGCCCGGAGACTTTGGATGCACCAAGTTCCACTACGATATGTACCACTACCATCATAGAAGACCCGTGTAACACAAGCTTCAAGTTCCTCTACTGATGACTCGAACGGCTACGAAACGTGTACCACTACCGTCGACCCACGAAGACCCCGTGGTCGCCAAGTCCTGTGTCGTGACCCCGAACATCTACGAACGTGAACGACTACTTTCACTACGAACGTCCCAAGAACGTCTGTCGGTGTTCTAGGAACGGGGGTCCCCAGACTTGCCTGCCTGCGGCCTGCGGCGTGGCTAAAAGGGGGCCCAGCACGGCCCATCTTCATCAACACAAGACTCAAGACCCTCGCGAGGGGCCAAGCCTCACGGGGCGGACGACATGGACCTTCCTCAGGCACGACCTCGTCAGGCTGGCTCGCGAGGAGGCGGAGAGATCAAGGCGGGGTACCTCGCGAGGTGCCCGTGACGCAAGCCATGACGTCGCGGGGCGCCAGGCGGGTGCCAGCCCGCGCATCATCCTCCTTTCCTCTTTGGTGCAAAGGGGGCAAGCGCAGCCGCGAAGTACCGAGGCATCAGGCAAAGGTTGCCATTTCGGTGCAACAAGACCAAGACCAGAAGGACTACGAGACAGAGGTCACCATGGAGCCCAAGACGGCGTCATCACCAGAGCTTTGCGCAGGCGAAGACTGCTTTTGTCAGGATAGTTGATACTTGCTGTCCCCCTTCAAATTAGCCCGCCATTGTTGGCTTCCTTTCCACTCAATATTTGGGAAGAGGACCAGGGCCTCTATAAATAGGACTAGCCACCCGCACAACAAAGGGAGGGAAACGATTGGCTAAGAAGAAAGAGAGAGAGGGAGAGAGAGAGAGAGAGAGAGAGAGAGAGGCAGCTGAACTCCTCCTAGCAGTTCATCGCCCCATCCAAGAATAGACCCTCGCGAGGCTGTTCTTCCTTGTATTGTTCATCATCATCAGCCCCAAGAGGCAATCCACCCACCACAAACTAGAGTAGGGTATTACACCACAACGGTGGCCCGAACTAGTATAAACCCTGTGTCTCTTGCGCTGTTCTTTCGTTAGTTTAGATCCTTGCGAGACGGAGAGGTAGAAGGCGTAATCTCCGCGCGCACCCCAGTGTTCGAACCTTAAGGGTCTGCCGGAACCCGAAATCCGACATTTGGCGCGCCAGGTAGGGTGCACCGGATTCGTCTTCCACCGCCCTGTTCTTCTCCGACCGTCGCATCCATGTCCGACGCTCGTCGGGCCCGCGCCGAGCGCCGGGACGCCATTGCTTCCCGCGTCGCCCAGACGGCGCCCGTCGGCGGACGTCCTCGTCGTTCCACGTCGCCCGCCATCAATGCCGCCACCGGCCCGGCGGGGGGTGAGCAGCAGGCGTCGTCTCAGCATCCATCCGTGCACCAAGACGGCCGCATCGCTACTCCATCACTCGCACCAGCTGGTTCTTCGTCCCGCGCGCTCCGCGCCCCCTTGGAGGCTCGAGCTGCGCTCCTCGCGGCAAACGAGCTCCTGCGCTACCGTCCCGTCGACGATGTCTATGAAGAGTGGCTTGACCGCGTCGCCGAGCTTGTCCGCGCCGCCGGGGGCTCTCCCGCGCCGTCCGTTCCGCTGCGCCGCACCCCGCCCCGCGTGGGCAACGAAGCTCCGGGGGCGTACCAGCCGCCTCCTCTCCAAGAAGACGCCATGGCTCCAAGGCGCGAGGCCCCTGGGCGGAACCCGCTCCGTCAGGCGCCAGCGCAGCAAGAAAGGAGCTGCCAAGAAGTCCCACGCCCACAAGGAGCTGCCCGGGCGCTCCCTGCTCCGGCACGCCGCGACCCTGCTCCGGCTCCGGCACACCAAGACCCCGCGCTGCTCCTAGCTGCAGCGCGTGGGGACCCACAAGACCGAGCTCTCCACCAGCCGAAGCCTGTCGTGGCCACCGCAGGCTGCCGTGCCTACACCACCGAGCTGCGTAGCGTCGCGTGGCCCGGCAAGTTCAAGCCAGACCTGCCTCCTCGCTACGATGGCACGAATGACCCTGCCGAGTTCCTCCAGCTCTATGAGCTGGGCATCGAAGCTGCCAACGGGGACGAGAAGGTCATGGCGAACTGGTTCCCCATGGCGCTCAAGGAAGGGGCCCGCACCTGGCTCCTGAATCTGGCTCCAGGCACGATCTCTTCCTGGGACCAGATGCGCACCCGCTTCATCGCCAACTTCCAAGGTACTCGCGACCGGCCACCCGCCGTGAGCGACATGCGCCGCATCAAGCAACAACCCAGAGAGACCCTGCAAAAGTACATCCAGCGCTTCAACAGTGCGCGCCTCAAGATCCCCAAGGTGTCCGAGGAGACCATCATCTCGGCCTTCTCCGATGGTGTGCGCGACGTCAAGATGAAGGAGGAGCTGGCGATGCATGAAGACCTGTGCACCTCCCTGGAGCTGTTCAACTTGGCGACCAAGTGCGCCAGGGCTGAGGAGGGACGCCTCTCCCTCCTCGAGCTGCCTGCCGCAGACCCAGAAGAGAAGAAGCCCAAGGCCAAGGATGTGAAGCGCAAGGGGGCTGCCGTGCTCACGGCAGAACCAGACACCAAGAGGGGCAAAGACCTGCCTGAGTCCTCCAGGGGCGGCCGGTACTGTGTGTACCATGACCTCCACACCCACAACACCAACGAATGCCAAGAACTCCGCGCCGTACGAGAAGGAAGGATCGGCCGTCGTCCCGAACGCGCCGATCGGGGCTACGACCGAGGAGGAGGGAGAAACGCAGGACGCTGGGAAGACCGCGGCCCGCGACAAGGGTGGCGCGATCAACCTCGCGAGGATCGCTGGCGAGACCTGCCTCGCGAGGGGGACTGGAGGGATCAGCCTCGTGAGGACCGCCCACAGGGGCACGCAGGCCTCCCCCCACTGCCGCCTTAGCCAAGGAGAAACGAGGACCGCCACCAAGACGAAGGGGCTTGGGGCTTCCAGGAGCCACGCGCCATCGCCTGCATCCTGGGCGGAGCTCAAGCCTCAGCCTCACAATGCATCTTCAAGCAGTTTGCCCGCGAAGTGAATGCAGTCCTCCCCAGGCTCGAGGCAACGCGCCCTCTCAGGTGGTCGGCCTGCTCCATCATATTCAGCTCATCGGATCAGCTCAAGTGCGCGGCCACAGCCGGGGTCCTCCCGATGCTTTGCTCCCCAGTCATCAGCAATGTGCTGGTCACCAAGACGCTCATCGACGGTGGGGCAGGGCTCAATGTTCTGTCCGTGGAAACATTCAA